AAGGAAAAGAAGAACACAAATATAACGAAAAATACAACAAAAATATTACAAACAATAAACATAAAAGGAAAAAGAAAATAATACAAGGTCTGTCATCGGGCTAACAGGTGCCCAGAATAAATGTATGATCTGATGAGAGCAAAATCTAATCTACTAAAATCGGAAAGATGGGTATCCAAGCTGGTCCATCCGTACCAGCGTGCGAAGACGGAGTGGAGCAGTGGTGTTGGTCTGAAACGTGTGTAGGTCCGGAGTGGTGGCGCCAAGGCTGGCAAGGTAGTCAGCAGGTCTGTTCCTCTCACGGAAGATGTGCGTAATCCTGTGATGGACAGACTGTATGAGAGCTCTAATGCGTATAAGCGGGTGCTGAATCTGCCACGAGCCCTGGTGGCCCGAGGTCAGGATGGTGACGACCGCCGTAGCGTCCGGCTCGATCCAAATATGACTAGAGAGGTGGGCAGCAATCTGAAGGCCAATCTGTAAAGCCTGAATCTCTGCGTCGTAGCTCGAGGAGGACTGAAGGGACGTGTGGAAGGCGGTGATGAGTGCTCCACTGTGGTCCCGAATCAAGCCTCCTCCTCCGACAGCTCCGATATGGTGATCAAATAAACCATCAGTGTTCAGCTTGACCCAAGGAGAATTGGGTCGAAGCCAAACAACTGCTCTGGGCCGAGGGGGCCGAACAGGCGGAGGGGGAGCCACCATGTAGTAGTGTGGTGGCGTGCAACCTGTCCAGTCTCGGGCAGAGAGCTTGTTCAATGTTGTGAGGAGTGAAAGATGTCTCTCTACCTGCAAAACAACGTGAGAAAGCAAAAAAGTAATATCCCTATGTTTCGCACTCCTTTCCGTCCAGATGAACCAAAGGATCAGACAAGGAATGAGGAAGCCCACGTGTCTAAAGTGTGTGCTCTGTGAGAAAAAACTCAGGAGCTCAAAGAAACTGTCTGTGGAGGGTAGGGATATATAGGTCCAAGTAGCAAAGTGCTCCCACACTCTCCTCACAATCTCACTCTCTAGAAAAAGGTGGGTAAACGTCTCGGTCTCATGACGTTTGGTCTCAGAACAACACACACACCGGGAGGAAAAAGAGATCCCCCTCGCATGTAACACAGCATCCACAGGTATCCGACGCAGGAGGAGGTGCCAAAGGAATACTGAAATGGTAGGGGTGAAAAGATCGCTCCAGATGGCTCCGAAAAGAAGATTAGGCCGATCTCTCAGCCTGATCTGCTCCCAAGTCGAGGTAGTAGAAAACACACCAGATGATGTAAGTCTCCACCTCATGCCATCCGAACTGTCCCCCGAGATGGGGATCTGCTAGATCTGATCTAATAAATGCTCGCTAAAATCCGCCCTAGAGCCCAACTCCCTATCTAGCTTCTCCCTATCCCACGACCCGTCCGTCCAGAGGTCGCTCACAAGCAGGTAGGGGGAATGTGACACCTGCATATCCCTAGACAACGACCTATCACCTAACCACCACTCATCCCAAAATCTAACCTCGCCATCACCCAAAACCCAAAAGATGTGATCCTGGGCACGCCTACCGACCCTAGTGAGGCGCCGCCACTGTCTGCTATCATGATCAACCACCGTCACTCAACAAGGGTGATTAGCGCGTCTAGGGCAGTATTTGCCGCGAAGGTACTGAGCCCAAAGCGACTTTCCATCCCTGAAGTGCCACCACAACTTGTAAGAGAAGACAGTAACAATATCCCTGAGGCGGCGGATGCCAAGGCCACCCTCAGAGAAAGGGCGGTAGATAGAGTCCCAACTCACCCAGTGGTGCGTCTCTCCCTCCCAGAACCGTCCTCGTACCCCAGAAATAACGAGTCATAATCTGGTCAATCTCATAAAGAGTAGACCTAGGGGGGTCGAGGACCATATGTAAATGAAGCGGGAGGGAGCTAAGGGTGCTCTTGATCAGCGCAAGCCAACCACCGAAAAAAAGATGCCTATGAGACCAACCAGAAATTCTGTCGATCATCCTCTGCCTGATGTCCGCAAAGAGCGCTCTCGTGAGGTTTCCCTTATATAAAGAGGCACAAATGTAGGTAATGGGAAGGTCGCCGCGCGCAAAGCCAGTAATCTTGTGGACCCGCTGAGCCCACCTGTCCTTGCTGGATGAGGAGAGCGTGAAGATGCTCTTCTGCACACTGATCAGCTGGCTGGTAATCGAGCTATAGTGCTCCAGAAGGTGCATAAGCTTGACCAGCCCATCATCATCCGCCCGGGTGAAGATGATTAT